CTTCCCCTCTCCAATCCCTTTGGCTTTCCTTGGATTCAAGGCTCTTCCAGCAGGACCTGGCCCTGATTCAGTAGGAGTTCAGAGGAGGGACATTATTTCCAGCCAGGAAGAATGCAGGGGGACCTTCTGGAGGAGGCATCATCTGAATGGGGCCTTGAAGGACAGGTGAAAAGTAAACCTGTGCTAACGAATAGGATAAGAGAAAGGAGTGCATGAGCAGACAGACATGTCGAGGTGGGAACGCAGAGAGCATGTCCAGGAGACATAAATACAGGAAATATTTATGTACTGTGGGCGAGAATCCACCAGAGGCCCTGGGTTGCAAGAGGGGTATTGTTTTCGGGGGGCTTCTGGGCTGGTGGCCAAACTGCTGAACTCGCAATACTTCAGGCCAGACGACTGTCAGCCGGGCTCTCAAGTCCCTCAGCTGTTCCTGCTGCGTCTTCCCCTGGATGCTCCCTCCAAGGAGAGCAGTAGGGGAATGTCGCCCTGGAAATAAAAGACGGCAGCGTTCCACTCCAACCCTTGGAATCCCGGAGACAGGGCCTTCAGCACACGGTCCGGCTAGGACTGAGACTCGCGGGGCCAAGTCGCCACTTCCAGCACCTTTGAGGCGAAAGGAGAGCAGATCCACGTAGCAAGATTCTTCCCAGAGGTGAATCCTTTCTGTTTGTTTTTTCCAAGTGTTTAGCCGCCAATTCCACATTCATCCTCTTCCTCCAGCTTATCTTCTCATGAATTTTGAGAGCAGTCTTCCTTATCTAGGAAACAAATGGCCTCCACAGAAAGCTCCAAACAGCAAAGTCATTTATCTGTTTGACAGGTGTTTCCTTGTTTGTTTTTTCCAGCCTTGAGACAAGAGTTGTGTCAACGGTGGATGGCTGTGCCCCAGTCACTTGAGAGGCATGAATCAATTTCCAGCTGCATTTATCACTTGCTGCCTTAAATCAAGTCTAATCAATGCGTCCTTCATTTGGTATGGATTGAAACCATATATAACATGGTCGGAAAAGGGGCGGGAAGGGGAGCAGATCACAATGAAAATTCCATCAGGGATTTAGATGGAATGATGTTAAGGAAACATTTGCAACCTTTGATTTACTTTAATGGAGACGCCTGACCAGTCAGTCTCAGAGATTTGCGTTTATGAAGCTTAACTTCCATTTACCTGACGTGCAATGACATTACATGACAGATCGAAATATATAAAGGGATTTTTGCATCTTTAAAGATTTTATAATTAATACATTCTGAAGTCTTGGTATATTTTTAATAGAGGGGCAGCTTAAGAGTTGCCTAGTCTTCCTCCTCTAACTCATTCCTATTTCTTTTAGGGGTGTCTGTTTTGTCACCATTGACTATATGAGTCAATTTCTAGTTACATAAAATAATAAAAATCTCTTTATAACAACATAGTTATACAGGAGCCCCTCTGATTCAGAATAATTTTATAAAGTCTTACAACTGAGAAAACTTGAGTCTCTCCCTCTCTCCTCCCCCCAGTTCTTGGTAACAGAATTTGATCCACACACCCCAAGTGGATTTTTCTCTAGCAGGTGTGAAAACCGCCCCCTAGCTGCCCCACCAGTTTAGAATGTGGGAGAGAGCAGCCCTGTCTCATTTGTAAATTAATCCTGAGCCAGTGAAAGATGATATCAGCATAGTTACTGGCACCTAAAACCCATCATGCCCACAGCAAGGCCCCGCATTATTCTTCAAGGATAATGGGAGAGGAGAGACAGAACATGGAAAAATAGGTCAATGATAATGCAAATCTGGAGGATGAGGCCGTGCTGTGATTCATTGATAGAATTAACATTTCTATCTAATCTGCTGAACTGTGTAGACTTTTACCTCTGGCCTGCCTCTGAAGCCATTAACAGGGCTGACTCATTCTCACAGAGCCGGCTCCCCCAGCGACCTGTTGTCAGGTAGCTGACAGAGCTCTGTTCAGCTCTGGGAAGTCAGACACTAATAATAAACCCCTATGCTGGTCTAATACTTTCCAGCTTATAAGGTGTTTTGGACATACAGACTCATAATCCTGTAAGATAAGCCAGAAAAGTAGATCTATTCCCATGTTCCAGACGAAGGGAGAGGTTCGGAGGGTAGCCCACCCCCTTGTGGGCTGGTCACACCAGCGCTGTGGCTCTGGAACTCCACTCCTCGTCTCATCAACCCCAAACTGGCTTCTTCCCACCGAACTGCAACTAGGCAGTCCCTGAGGTCTCCTCCCTGTTCTTTCCCCAACTTTTTTTTTGTTCTCCCATCACCCAGGGTTCTTGGGAAACTCACGTGGTGACAGGAGATCCCTAGAGTTGCCTGGCAGGTTGTCTAGCTTAAAAAACAAAAGGCAGCACCTTTGGATGTGCTTTGGGTTACAGACGTGGTGTCGTGTTCTTAACCCATCTTAAACAAAGACAGAGTAATGCAATCTAACAAAGCTTTAACCCTCTGCGAACAGAGGGAGGGTGAGAGAAATGCTGCAGAATCACGGTCTAAAAGTGCTCACTCCCGTCATCCTTAATACTCATGAGGGTTGTTTAATGAGCTCCTGAGCTGTGAGGGTGTCCAGGAAGGATCACGTCTGCTCCTTCTTTGAGGAAGAGAGTAACAGGTATTTCCACCCAAGACAGGTCTCACCGAAGTAGATCCTGTTAAGATGCCTAAGTCAGAACAGAAGTTGATGGAAAGAAGAACTTCCATGGCTTTAAACTTTTAGACAAGAGTCGATTTGCTCAACTTGACGTTAGTAGAAGTGAATGAAGGGAGTAACGGATAATGCATTTTCACACTGGCTCCAGGTCATGTGCTGTGGAGGAGAAATGCATTTTCCATGGTCACAGGGATTTGAAGCTCTCCAGGGCGCCTGAGAAAAGTCTGGAACACATTCTGACAAAGCTGTTAGAGTGTTCAGGAGTTAACATGCGTGTTAAAGGGCACAGTCACCCCAACTATCCTGTTAATACAAACTGGAATTTCTATTGGAAATACAAATTCTCGCAACCTATATGAACCCAGAGTAAAATGGATCGTACCCTTTCTTGAAACCAAAATGCTATTGAGATTAATACATATCAGATTTCATTTCATTTCCTCCCCAAAGCAAATTGGTTTATTTCACTTGTTCATTCATTCAACAAATATTTATGGAGCGCTGAGAATATGGGCACTGAGGATTCAGTGGTAAAAAGACACGACACAGACCCTGCTTCCTAGGAGCATATACTTGAGTGGGAAAATTCACATTTAAAATATTAATGGAGACTTATGCTTCCAATCAAGATAGGGTAATAGGAACCAGATTTACTCTCCCACCTGACATACCCAAAAAAGAAAAACAGAAGCAATACATGAAACAACAGTTTTCAAGACACTGGACATCAGGCAATGACAGACAGTGATCCTGAGGGATGGAAAACATGGTGGGCCCCATGAGTGCCTCACCTTCTGCCCTGAAAGACTGTCCAGGCTGCACAGGGAGGGACGACCCAGGCAGAATCTAGTGGACTCCAGAGTTCAGGAGACAGAGCCAGAGGCTTAGGGCGATCAAGGCAGCTAGAGTTTGCAGGACAGAGTACCAGGGAGGAGGGAGCTGCAGAGAACCCCAGATATCTGGAAAGGGTTCCGCTCTACAGTCAAGGGATACTTATGGATGAGCACGTGTGAGTGAGGCCGGGGAAAAACCACCTGAAAGGATTCGAGGGAACAGCGCTCAGCACTCACACAGGTGCCTACTTCTGTCAGCTGGACTGGAAAACTCACAATTCACGGGACATGGAAAAACCTTTCCTTAGTACTGGCAAACAGTTCATCCTAGACTGAGGTCTGTTCCAGACCTAACACATTATGAAAGCAAGACCCACAAGGATCAAACTACTGCCCAACTCAACTATATCCTGAAACAAAGCTAAAGGCTATTTATACAAATACACATCCAGCAGCCGACAAGGGAAAATTCACAATGTTTGGCATCCAAAGATTACAAGGCATGCAAAGACAACTAATAATGAGGGCTTGTACCTAGAATTTATAAAGAACTCTCAAAACTCAAAACTAAGAAAATAATCCGGCTTAAAAAAAATTGGCAAGAGATTTGATCAGACACTTCACCAAAGATATGTGGATGACAAAGCATATGAAAAGATGCTCAACATTACACGTCTTAAAAAATGCAAATTAAAACCACAATGAGATACCACTGCATACCAATTAAAATGGTAAAAATTTTAAAAACTGACCATACCAAGTGATGACAAGAATGTGAAAGAACTAGAACTGTCCTACACTACCAGTGGGAATGTAAAACGGTACAGCCACTTTGGAAAACAGTTTGGCAGTTTCTTAAACTGTTGAACACATACCTACCATATAGCTCACTCATTCCACGCCTAGATATTTACCTAAGAGAATTAAAAGCATATTATCCACACAAATACTTGCACACAAACCTTCAGGACAGCTTTGTTTGCAACAGCCCAAAACTGGAAGCAACCAAAATGTCCGTCAGTAGGTGAATGGACACATCTATTCACTGAAATCCTACCCGCATACGGAAAAAGCCAAAAACAGAAAACCCTCTCAACACATGCTACATCAGTGAATCTCAAAATAATTACCCTGAGAGAAATAAGCCTGATAAAAAAAAGAGTACATATTACATGATTCAATTTATATTAAATTCTAGGAATACAAAAGAATGAACATATTGTGACAGAGAGCAGATCAATGCTCACCTGGGGAATAGGGGGGTGGGTGGCATGGGGGGTGGGGGTCGGAGAAGGGTAACAAAGGAGCACGAGAACACTCGGGGATGATGGGGAAACGTCATCTTGATTGAAGCCATGGTTCCATTTGGTATAAATATATGTCACATTGCACACGTTAAATATCCAGTTTACTGTATGTCAAGTATACCTCGGTAAAGCTATTAAAAATAGTAATGGTCTCTACGTTCCAGAGGTTCTGGCAGAACTATTATTTTCATCTTCAAATATTAATTACATTTGGTAAAAAATACTTTAGAACTTTATTTTTAAAGTTGTTAACAGGGAAAACAACAAGTATCAACATTAGCTCATTGAAAAAACATGCTGTATGTACTAAGAAAAAGTACAAAGTGAAAGTGAAGAATTCTAATTCAGCACATAAAACCAGATCTGAGATAATTCTCGACAATGAATCAAACCACTCAGAGTCAGTCGTTTGGCGTCTGCCGGTCGTGTCGGGCCTGCATCAGTCAGTCATTTGGCGTCTGCCGGTCGTGTCGGGCCTGCATCAGAGTCAGTCGTTTGGCGTCTGCCGGTCGTGTTGGGCCTGCATGCTGCTGTGGTCGCGGCAGCGGAGCCCTCGGTTTCAGTCATCTGAACTGTAGCCTTGAGCTGTTCTCCAAGCTCCTCTATCAGAGGCCCAGGACCCCCGAGAGCCCGGGAGGAGGCAAGTGGCTTCCCCTGACCAGCATCAGACCCCAGGCTGGCTGCATTTCTGCACAGCCCACCGTCATCCATTAGCAGGGCACTGCTTTCCTCAAGAAAGGGACCCTGCAAGCAAGTTAGTGTCTCAGATGTGCTATCTTTGAGTTCCTCGTGTTCCGAATCCGAGTCTTCGGCCTCCGACGATGTGCTGCTGTCTGATTCCTCCGAATCACTTGCCTCAGAACTGGAGCAAGGTGTCTGCTGCCTGGAAGCAGAATGGGCCGCTTTTAATGCAGTTTCCTCCTCCTGGACAAGACGCGCTGCTGCTTCCAGCTCTTCCAGTTCCAGCCCCAGCTGGGCCTTGGTCACGGAGACTTCCTTTAAGGCTTCTGCAAGAGCTGCCAACTTTTTGGACCTTGAAAACCATTTTAAGAAGAAATATTAGGACTATTCATTAACTGGCCTGGGGACAACTGGGTACAAAGCATAAAGAAATAACACAATAAAGTTGGATCCATACTTCACATGATACACTAGGAGAAATCCCAAAACAGATCAAAGATATAATTGTAAAAAAATGAAGCTAGTAAAATATTACAAGGAAATGTAGGATATTTCCTTTATGACCCCAGAATGAGGAAGGCCTTTCTAACTATGACTCGAAATCCAGAAGCCACAAAAGCAAAGATTAATAAATTCAACTAGTAAAAAATCAACAACTACTATAGCACAAAGCAACCATCATAAGCAAAGTCAAAAGGCTAAAACAAAATTGAGAAAAAGCAAGGTCTAATTCTCCTAACAGCATTCTTAAAAATAGATACAACACAGGCTGGTCCAGTGGTGTAGTGGTTAAGTTTGCACACTCTGCTTCAGTGGCCCAGTGTTCACGGGTTAGGATCCTGGGTGCAGACCTACACACCACTCATCAAGCCATGTTGTGGCACAAAATAAAGGAAGATTGGCACAGATGTTAGTTTGGGACAATCTTCCTCAAGCAAAAAGAGGAAGATTGGCAACAGATGTTAGCTCAAGGCCAATCTTCCTCACCAAGAAAAAAAAAATAAATAAAAAAATAATTACAAGAATCCATCAGAAAAATGGGCAAAAGACATAAGCAGACAATTCTCACAAAAGGAAATACAAATGCCTCTTAAATATAAGAAAAGATGTTCAGTCAAATAAGAGAAGTAAAAATTAAAGTCATACTGAGATATATTTTTCATTTATTAGATTGGCAAAAATGCAAACATTTGATAATGCTGCTAGCAAGGCTGTGGGGGAAATGGCACCTTCCTACCCCGCTGGTGAGCGATTACACAGGTACAACCCCTATGAAGGAGAACTTGGCAATAGCTTTCGAATTGAAAATGTACACAGCCCTGACCCAGCAATACCACATCTGGAAGTTAAACACACATGCCACATGACACAGGCCCAAGGTTAGTTACTGTGGCATTATTTTTAATACCCCAAATGGGAAACAACCACATGCCCATCAATATGGGACTGGGTAAACACATTATGGCAGATCCATATAAAGGAACAGTCTATAGCTGCATAGGGAATGAAGCTCTCCATGGGCTGACCCAGATACACTGTTTAATGACATCAAAGGCATGCCATATGTACCTATAATGTTAAAAAAAGGAAAGAAATAAAAACATATATTTGTATTTGCTTGTCTATCTATCAATACACTCTGGAAAGCTAGAGAAAACACTAACTTACATGGAAGGGTGTGGTGGGAACTGGAAAGCTGGACGGTGAGGGTGCGAGGGAGAGTTTCCATCGCATATTGTTCCTGGTTAAACCTATGTAAATGGAACACCTATTCAGGATTTTTAAATGTGCCCCAAAAAAAGCAATGTTAGAGAGCAGCATGGAGTGCTTTTTATTTTTATCAGAAAACCGTTTCATGGAATATCGGAGGATATTTTTCTAAATTTATAATATTATGTTGAATAAACTTTTTCATTAACTTGGATGCATTTAGTTGTTTTGTTTTTGAAGCAACATAAAGCATACCGCAGTTCTCCAAAAACTATCCCTTTACTATTCTACAGAGGAAAATCTGAGGTGACAACTGAAGAAAGGTGGCAATGAGTGAAAACGGTAAGCATGCTGACATGGCTTCTGTTTGCCTAACTCCAAAGATTAAATGAGTGTACACAACAATTTAGTGTCTTGAGACAATCTGGATGAGGGTGAGTTCACAACATAAATTCATTTGTAAAAGTGTAGTCCATTCCATAATATTGGGGAAATGAGGCTTCATTTCAAGAGAGCCAAAGTGAATGGACAGTGCAACGGCAACTACCGAACAAAGATAATTTTCATCTAAGTGCCTAGATGTATCTCAGGCCCTTTCGTCTCAAAATATTTAGAGGAGTGACTGTGCATGGGCGCCCCTCCCCACAGCTGCGCCTCCACAGGTGTGATCAGGACCAGACGCTCCACTGCAGTCAGTGTCCGAGGGTGGGTGGCAGGCACAGCGGGGGAGAATGGGACGAGGGCAACAGCCAGCACGGATGGGCGACTTTCTCTTAGGCGAGGAAAAGCCTGAGTTTCAGTGCTGGAATTTCCAGAGCTTAGAAAAGGAAAGGTGGCTAGGGCAAAGGGGAAAATGAAGGTGAGATCAGCTGGAGTCACTTAATGATTCACCAAAGGGCCCAAACTCTGGGTGAGCTCTGATCAGCGTGAGACATCTTTAAAAGCATGGAATAAGATGGTTGCAATATAATTTACATCCTTGTCCAAGACAGTTGTAGATAATGTCCACCATATATTTTGAAACCTTGACGACCAGTGACAAAGGATTCAGTCAGAACTAGTGGACCAGTTTAAAACATCTCTGCCCCAAGGCCCTGTCAGCCTAGCAACTAGTTCACTGCCATCTTTCTCACTGAAGGAGGTCCCCTCTGGATAATGACACACAGCTTTCAGAGATAAAGAGCAAGGAACCTGGGAGAGAAGACAATGTCTCTTATTAAATTATAATATTAGAAATAAAACATTTAAAATAAAAGCTTTTACTTCAGTGACCATATATCTCATATTTTTAATAGCCATGACAAATATGTGAAGGATGGTGGTCCTCGTCATTGCACTTACTCCTACCAACAACCCTGCGAATCAGCTTCCTTTTTATCCCCACATTACAGATGATGAAACAGAAGCCTGGAGGGGTTAGGAAACCTGCTGAAGTTCACCCCGCTAGCAAGGGGCAGCCAAGACTGGCAGCCCAGGCCTCAGAGCTCTAGCGCAATTCCTGCTCCACCAGAGGGCCTCCCATGAGTATCCAGGCTCCGAAAAGTTTCAGTTCTTCAGACCACGTTCTTCACTCCTTCCCAATTTGAGCTCGACTCGGCATCTTCCAAATGAGCGAGCTCTGACTTGCAGAAGGCCCAGAATTCTCCAAAGAAGCTACGATTGATACCTTTAGTTTGGCAATCTTAAATGAAGCATACATCTAAGCTTTAACGACAGAGGTTTGGAGTAGGAGGGAAAAAACTGAGGTATTTTTGTGAATATTAGTGAATACAGTAGATAAGTCAATTCTCAAGTTAAAACTATCTGGGTCTTTGTTATTGTCTACTATAAAAATATTCTATCTGTCGTTTTTAACAGTATAAATTTGGAACTTCAAAGCCCCTCACCATAATCCTGGCTCTTTTCAGAAAGCACAGTGGGACTAAAAAGTCAACTCTAATTGACAAGAAAGTGGCAAGGATGAGCCATGTGACCCAAACAGGGACTCGCACCTGCTACCAGCTGACGTGAAGTTTCATCCTTCGGGGGAAAGTTCGTCTCACTGTTAGCGCTACATTATGTTTAAAGTGACCCATTTATGTGAGATGTGTAAAAATGAATTACATGTTCATTTTTGATTCTTTACCATGCTGATTCATCTCTATTTTTTATTATCCCACTCTTATTACCTCAAGCTGGCTAGTTTCCTAAATTAATACTGAAGTTCTGAATAGAAACTTCATAGAAGCAGCATTCCGAACTCCCCCCTAAAGAATGCTAGGATAAAAAGTGATTAAAAATTTCAAAGTATCACAGTGCAGGAGGTGCCCTAACAGCCCAAGGAATGAAAGTTGGCTTTGTTTCTATTCAATTATTTTACACAGATAACTTAGAAGTGACTGTTTGCAAAAAAGGAAATTATTCCTTTGGAGAAAAAAATTAAGCTATGAAAGAGTAGCCTTTTTGTTTCTTCAACCGCTGGGACAATTAGAGTTGGGTCGAAGTCTGCCACTCCTTGTAAATTCTAGAATCCAACTCTGTAATGGCTTTTCCATTTCAGAAAGCACCTCATTTAATGTAGCCAGTGGTTTTTCACTGTCACACTCAAAACAGACCAGGCTAGTTCACGTCAAAAAGCCTTGTCAGGTGACATTATTAGTTAACCAGAATGCTTACAAAAACCAGGTACATTCTGATACCACTCAATGCACACTCATGCTGAGTTACTAGATGTACTTATAGTATATATTTTATATCTAAATGAAGAACACCTACCTGTTAAGAATGTGCTTATTAAAGAGTGAGAAGATTCAGCATTTAAGAGAGACATGACAAGCATATCATACTAATGCCATATTTTAATAAAATTATACTCAAAACAGGTTTTTCTTAGAAAGTTTTTGGAAATGTAATCCCACCATGTGACTTTTTTAAAAAGTTTCTTTCTGATTGTATATGTGAAATAATATTCTATTTGGAGGATTTTTTTTTTTTTTTAATTAAAGACTGCTCTCTGACAAGTTACAGGAAATACAACCACCATGAAAGAGTAACGGGAATAGCGCAAAGTGCCTGCCTTCACCACGTCTGAGCTCACACACAAGTTACTCAATTATTTTATATTTGGTGACTGAGTTTAGGCGCAAAAAAAAAAAGGCATCAATGGCCTTATGAAACAGCCAAAACAAAGTGCCAAAGGAGCCCTGAAATGTAGGAAAAAGAAAACTGGGTATAAATAGAAAGCACACATCCTGTTTCTTGCTGTAGAGTTTTGTCTCAAGCTATCAATCAACTTTTCACCACTTCCTGCAATAGCAGGTCTACTATAAATCTCGTAGTAACTGACCAGGTTTCATTTCCTCTGCCAAAACCTGCTAACTTGCCAGGCATGACATACTGACACAAGAGCCAGCAACTGATAATGTAGGACAGGACTCTAGTGAGGCAATTCAAGAAACGCTTCATGCTGGACAATGGAAGACACTGACTTGCCTTTTAATTTCAAAGGATGCAGCACACAGACACACAGTCTCAGCTTCTATCTGGGAACAAACAGTCCATCAACTTTCTTGTTAAAGGGCATTGATGATAATGACATATAATCATAATTCCTCCCTATTGAAAAAAACCAGTTCCAAACTTCAGAACATTTATGGATCCTGA